TAGTTACAGGTAGTGTTGTCCGATTGAATTCCCATGTTATGACTGCAGGTGGGTTTGATGAAATCTTGCATGCAAATCTAGCAACTCCACCTTCATGAACCTCAGTGGAAACTGGCTGAACTTCAAATGCAGAAATAGCTATAAGATAAAGTTTGACACATTTAGAATGAGTACATGACTACTACACTTAGAAATAACATCGTGCTGGGTATTAAGCATTATTAGGCTTGAATTCCTCAAATATAAGAGCAACCTAACTTAACTAACACAAAGGTAGTTTAATGAATAACTTTGGAAAAACCAGGGAACTGTGGCTCAACTTAAGAATGGTCCACATCACAAAGTCTCAAAGCTGTAGATGCTGGCATGGATGTGGGAAAAAGGGAACACTTTTATACTGCTGGTGGGACTGCAAACTAATACAACCTTTTTGGAAGGAAGTATGGAGAACCCTCAAAGAACTCAAACTAGACCTCTCATTTGATCCTGCAATGCCATTACTGGGCATCTACTCAGAAGAAAAAAATCCTTTTATCATTAAGGGTATGTGCACTAGACTATAGTAGCTTAATTTACAACTGCCAAATTGTGGAAACAACCTAAATGCCCACCATCTAGGAATGGTTTAACAAGCTATGGCTTGGCACCTGTGGCTCAAGTGGCTAAGGTAACAGCCACACACACCTCAGGTGGCGGGTTTGAATCCAGCCCGGGCCCACCAAAACAACAATGATAGCTGCAACCAAAAAATGGCCAGGCATTGTGGCCGGCACCTGTGGTCCCAGCTACTTGGGAGGCTGAGGCAGGAGACTCACTTGAGCCCAGCAGTTGGAGGTTGCTGTGACCTGTGATGCCACGGCACTCTACCCAGGGGGATAGCTTGAGGCTCTGTCTCTCAAAAAAAAAAAAAAAAGTCTGTCAGTCTTATATTTAGCTGCAAGCAATGAGAACACAGTCAAAAGTGGCTTAAATGTCTCCAAGATGCTCTCCCAAGCCTAAGAGTGAGAAGAATACGAGCACATTGTTTCCTGCAGGGCCAACCAAGTCCATTGGTAAATGCTGAGTATCTTCCATCTGCCCCAGCCCAGCCAGGCCAGTCTCCACCTTCCCCCATCCTGCTCTCTGCCCCAGAGGCTGTGGACCTCTTTGCATGGGTCTGGCCAATGGGAAAGCAAGGAGGATGGGGCAGGATGAGTCTTAGGCTGCAGCACAGTTCCAGGAAAGTTT